GATGGACAATGAAGTACGAAGGGAGACAGATGGTGGAGGCGATATAGCTGTCAACAGGTCGATTTACTCAGTGGGAGCTTGTTGAAGTGTCACGGATGGATTAAGCAATGGATGGACTATCGTGGAGAGGACAGAAATGAAGAATGAAAAATTGCAATTGATGAGAGATAATGGCGTGGAAAGTGCGACAGAATTGTTGCTAAAGAGATAGAGGCTGTCAAATAGATATAGAGAGAAGGATAGACAGAACGTGTGAGAGACAGAAAAAGGTAGACAGCCATAGAGCAAGAGGCAGTGAGATGGCAGTGACAGACTGAGGCAGAAATAGAGCGGGGGAGTGAAGAGAAGAGAGAGAGAGAGAGACAGCTATTGAGAGAGAAAGAGAGAGAAAAGTTCGGAGAGACAAAGGAAGAGGTACTGTAAGAAAGGTCAAGACACAGACCTAGGGAGAGTGAGGAACAGAAATAGTGACCGTGAGAGAGAGAGAGAGATAGATACACTTAGTGACTGAGACAGATTGAGGATAGATAGAGACAGATCACAGACCTGTGTGTTTTGCTGCTCCCTGTTTCCCTGTTTGATGTGTTCTCAGCTACTGACACTCCATGTGTGATGAGCTGTGTGATGTGACTGTCAGGGATTAGCTGCAGTTTATGGCTCATTGCACCCCAGGCCTGGCACATCTTTGCCAATGGGAAATGGGTAAAGACGCAGCCCGGGCTCCCGGACTCCAGCCCAGACCATTGGGCCAGGAAGCAGTTAGAATCTCTGTCAGAGCAACACTGGCACCATTATTCTCTGGGGGAGAGAGAGAGAGAGACATGAAACAGAAAGACAGCTACTGAAAGGGAAAGAGAGATAGAGAGATGGACAGAGAGACATAGAGAGAGGGACTGTAAGAGAGATCGAGTCAGCAAAGACTGGGGGATAGAAATAGGGAGAGAGAGAGACAGAGTCATGACACTCTACAATTAAGGGACGGACAGGGAAAATAGAAAGAGTCAGAGACAGAGAGAGAGAGAAAGAGAGAGAAAGAGAAAGAACACAGATCACAGATCTTTGTGTATTGCTGCTGCCTTTCAGGAATGTAATGCCCCACTTGCCTGGATGAGTACAACTCCAACAACACTCAAGAAGCTTAACACCATTCAGGCCTGCTAATTGGCACCACATCCTCAAAAGTCCACTCCCTTCACCACCGACATTCAGAAGCAACAGTGGATGCCACCACAGCACTTTCCAAACCAATAGCCACTTCCATCTAGAAGGACAAAGGCAGCAGATACATGGAAACGCCACCCCTTGTGAGTTCCCTCCAAGCTATTTATCATCCTAACTTGGAAATATATCGGCCATTCCTTCAGTGTTGCTGGTTAAAATTTTGGAATTACCTCCCTCAGGGCATTATGCGTCAACCTTATAGCAAGTTGACTGCAACGGTTCAAGAAGGCAGCTCACCCCCACCTTATCAAGGGCAACGAGGAACGGGTAATATAGACTCGGCGAGCATGCCATGCCCATGTACCATGAGGGAATAAAAACATTGAGGGTAAGAGGTATCAGATTTAAAAGAATGATGAGGAGCAATTATTCCCTCAACTGCTTGTGAAATTATGCAATTCATTCCCCCAGAGTGTTGTGGATGACAGCACATTAAATAAATTGAAGGAGGACAGAGATAGATTTTTAATTAGTAACTTGAAGGGTCATGATGGACAGGCAGAAAAGTAGAGTTAAGACTGAGATGAGATCAGCCATGGTCATATTAAATGGCAGAGTGGACTTGAGGTGTTGAATTGCCCAGTCCTGCTCGTTAATCTCACATTCCTATGGTGGTATGTAGGTGAGATTCCTTCAGCAATAGCATTAGAGTGTGCCATAGAGAGAGACAGGGAGATGGAGATGTCTTCCCTAATTGCAGAACGATTAATCCTCGTCTGCCCAATTCTTGGGGAAACTGACATCCAGCAGCTGAGAGCTGCTTGGATAAGGTGTGAGTTGTGATCAGGAGTCTGTTTGAGCATCAGATCTAGGGATATATAGGTGGTCAAAAAGGCACCATGAATTATCTCATGCCTCATGTTACGATCATTACTGAGGTGAAATGGGTGTTTGATGATGTTGGCAATCTTACCGTGGCAGCGAGCATATAAATGGAGTCCATGGATGGAAGATTGGCTTCCATGATGATCTGGGCTGTGCACACCACCTTCTGTAGTTTCTTACGGTGCTGGGCAGAGCAGTTGCTATACCAGGCTGTTATGCACCCAAACAGCATGCTTCTAGTGGTGCATCTGTAGAAGTTGGTGAAGGTCCTTATGAACATGCCAAATATCCTCAGCCACCTGAGGAAGAAGCAGCATTGTTGTGCTTTCTTGACTGTCACATCTACGTGGGAAGTCCAGGATAGGTTGTCGGTTATAGTCACTTTGAGGAACTTGATGCCCTTCACCCTCTCAAACGCAGTTCCATTGATGTAGATGGGGGTGTGTTCTCCTCCTTTATTTCTGAAGTCAACGATCAGTTCTTTATTGGGGAACACCAGCAGTCAAGGGAATTCAGCTTCCCCTCTTCGGGTATGCATCCTCCAAGACGGACTTCGAGATACACAGCGACGCAGAATCACCAAGCAGCGATAGCCAAGTTCCGTACCCATGAGGACAGCCTCAACCATGATCTTTGGTTCTCTCTCTCTCTCACACAAATCTATATGGTAAATCATTTCATCCAAGATATTTGTTTATTTGCAAATACGTTCTATTTTGTTCAAAAACATATAAATTTTAGTCACAGTCAGTCTGTGTGGCATTTTATAAATTCCTGCTTTCAAAATAGAATCAGCCCTGCTGCAGAGACAGATTCTAGACAAGGTCACATGCTTACAATGCAGTGTCTAACCTGAGATGTCACCTCTTGTATACACTGGGAAAACCTTTAATAATCTTGGAGCAGTGACTTGAAACAGATTCTGGAAACTTGCGTCTCGTTTCCAAGTGATTAAAATATTCCACAGGAGGCAATCAGCCAGCCATTTTAGGTTTGTTCAATCCATTCACATCAGTTGTTCGATCCTACTTATAAACTCTGTATCTTGCGTGCCCTCCTCTATCACCGCACCTGAAAAGGAGCACTGGTCCGATTTCAAATAAACCTGCTGGACCATAACCTGGTGTCGTGGGATTTTTGACTTCGTTCACCCCAGTCCAATACTGGCATCTCCACATCATGAACACAGAGGGTGGCAGATTGCAAAGCCCCAGTTGTACAAAGTAATGATGTGGATACGCCGGTGTTGCACTGGGTTGGACAAGGTCGATGAGTTGATTTATCTGTAAATAAATACATATATCTATAAATCAGAATCGCGCATTTGCAGGAACAATGCGCGCCCTCAGATGAGGAGTTTCACCATTGGCCAATGGGAAAGCGGGGAGGACCGGAAACAAGCTGGTCCTCCTGCCAATCAGCGCTACCCTAATGTCTGAATGCGGAAGTTGGATAGTGCGCTTTTGATGCTGCTCATTTCAGCTCAGCAAAATTGGTGCTGCTACTCTTCTCTCTCTGAAGACCCAGACGGAAACATCTTCCCCTGTCAATCATCTGTGAGCTTTAAGACTGCTTTTCAGTTCTTTTCTCATTCGGAGTTAAATTGTTGATTTCCAAGTATTGAACGGTAGGGAATTCAAGCGAACGTGCAGATTCTGAACAGGTTGGTCAGGTCTTCCGCCGTCTAAAGACGGTGACATCCTTTACTGTTCTGAGGAAGGGTCGATCGACCCGAAACGTTAACTCTGATTTCTCGCCACCGATGCTACAAGGCCTGCTGAGCTTTTCCAGCAATTTTTACTTTTGTTTGTGACATATTTTTACTCACTCGGCTTGGCACACTTATTTGTCTAGCGAACAGAGTGGTGTCTTTTCTTAATGTTCACAATTAAAAGGGTGATTTCTAGGCAAGAGCTGACGTGATGAGACATTAAATTAATATCAGGTTGAGCTATGCCTTATTTCGTTATATTATATAAATTTGATTTTATCACACTATTATAACATTCACGAGTTGTTTTCACTCTTAATAGAATCCCTACAGTGTGGAAAGAGGCCCCTCGGCCCAACAAGTCCACACCGATGCTCAGAGCATCCCACACAGACCCATTCCCCTATTACCTACCTAAACTACACGTCCCTGAACACTGTGGGCAATTGAGCATAGCCAATCCACCTGGCCTGCATATATTTGGACTATGAGCGGAAACCAGAGCACCTGGAGGAAACGGACGCAGACACGGGGAGAATATGCAAACTCCACACAGTCACCCGAGGGTGGCATCACACCCCAGTTCCTGGCGCTGTGAAGCAGCAGTGCTCACCACTGAGCCACTATGCTGCCCTTGTATGAGAGTATTGGTGTGAAATTCTGTATTTCAGCGTTGGACTCATTATGATACAGGAGTCCATTCAGCAATTTGAATCTGTGCCAACTCTCGAGCATTCTGGTCTCTCTCATTCCCTCTGTCATCCAGCAAGTTAATTTCCCTCAACTGCCCATCCAATTTTATTCTGAAATCTTAGTTGAATCTTCTCAATTTTGAATCAGTTATTTAAAATGAATCTTACTGCTTCCTCATGTTGAAATTTCCAGGTTGTGACCAATTGATGCCTAACTAACATTCTTCCTTACGTCCCTTTGTGTCTTTAGACAAGTGTGGCAGTTCAATTAGGTTGAATATTTTTAGACCAGTGATATATCCTGAAGAACAAGCATTCAACCATGCAGTATAAAAGAAGCTGTGCGGCCCATTGAATCTGCACTGACAGTAAAGAAAAATCTGTGAATTAGCATCACTTTTAGAATATTTTCTTTAGAATTTCTATCTTAAACTGTGATATTGGTGACTTTTTAAACTGCTTTCACAGGATAGAAGAAGGGGAGGATTTGAAGAAAGAAATCTGAAACTAACATCATGTCAAGATCTGAAATCAATCGATTTGTCAGGATTTGAATGTCATAGACGTTTAACTGTGGAGGGAGAAATGTTTCTATGTTCTGTCTGCTTCAAAGATTTTAAAATCAACGTAACCATAAAAGGATTGTGATACACACACACACAAGTGAGTATTTCTCTGCACTGACAGTGAAAAAAGCTTTAACCAGTTAAACAGCCTGAAAAGTAAATTGCACAATTCACAGCAGAGACAGACCATTAACATGTTCGGTGTGTGGACAAGGTTCAACTGATTATTAAACCTGGAGAGAGAATGAGAACATTATCAGCATGAATAAATCCTGGAAATGTGGACACTGTAGGCAGGGATTACCCTCCCCATCTGCACTTGAGATTCATGAGCGCAGACACACTGGGGAGAGGCCATTCACCTGTTTTGTGTGTGAGAAAGGATTCAGTGCTGTCTGTGATCTGCTGACACACCAGAAGGCTCACGCTGTGGAGCAGCCATTCACGTCTGACTGTGGGAAGGGACTTACTGATATATCCACCCACCTGACACACAAGCGTGTTGATAACCAGAAGAGGGTATTCCCCTGCTCTGAGTGTGGGAAGGTATTCACCAATTCAACCAGCCTGCTGAGACACCAGCGAGTTCACACTGGGGAGAGGCCATTCAACTGTTCTCAGTGTGGGAAGGGATTCTCTGATTCACACACCGTCCTGCGACATGAACGGATCCACACTGGGGAGAGGCCGTTTACCTGCTCTCACTGTGGGAAGGGATTCATGCAGTTACCTGACCTGCAGAAACACCAGCGGGTTCACACCGGGGAGAGGCCATTTACCTGCTCTCAGTGCGGGAAGGGATTCACGCAGATATCCAACCTGCAGAGACACCAGCGAGCTCACACTGGGGAGAGGCCATTCACCTGCTCCGAGTGCGGGAAGGGATTCACGCAGTTATCCAGCCTGCAGAAACACCAGCGGATTCATAAGGAGGAGAGGCAGTTCACCTGCTCTCAGTGTGGGAAGGAATTCACGCAGTTATCCAACCTGCAGAGACATCAGCGAGTTCACACTGGGGAGAGGCCATTCACCTGCTCTCAGTGTGGAAAAGGGTTTGCTGAGTCGTCTGACTTGGTTATTCACCAACGGACTCACACTGGGGAGAGGCCGTTTACCTGCTCTCTGTGCGGGAAGGGATTCTCTCATTTGCACGTCATGCTGCAACACGAACGGATTCACACTGGGGAAAGGCCGTTCGTCTGCTCTCAGTGTGGGAAGGGATTCACACAGTTATCCAACCTGCAGAGACACCAGCGGGTTCACAGCGGGGAGAGGCCGTTCAACTGCGTTCAGTGCGGGAAGGGATTCACGCAGTTATCCAACCTGCAGAGACACCAGCGGGTTCACACCGGGGAGAGGCCATTCTCCTGCTCTCAGTGCGGGAAGGGATTTGCTGAGTCCTCTGACTTGGTTATTCACCAACTGATTCACACCGGGGAGAGGCCGTTTACCTGCTCTCGGTGCGGAAAGGGGTTCTCTGATCCGCGCGCCGTGCCGCAACATGAACGGATTCACACCGGGGATAGGCCGTTCGCCTGCTCTCAGTGTGGGAAGGGATTCTATCGATTATCCAGCCTGCAGAATCACCAGCGAGTTCACACCGGGGAGAGGCTATTCACCTGCTCTCAGTGTGGGAAGGGGTTCACACAGTCATCCAACCTGCAAGCACACCAGCGTGTTCACACCGGGGAGAAGCCATTCACCTGCTCTCAGTGCGGGAAGGGATTCACACAGTTATCCAGCCTGCAGAAACACCACCGGTTTCATACTAAGGAGAGACTGATCACCTGCTCACGACTTGGGAAGTGATACACTTGATTAACAAGCCTGCAGGAACATAAGTGAGGTCTCACAGGAGTGTGTTCTGCTGTTCGTGCTGCTGCTCATCACATTCAGGACTGAACCGTGTTCATTGTGCCAGTGGGTGAAGTTGGAGATTCAGAGCGTTTCTTTCGACTGGGCTGGCAACCCTCACCACTTTGCTTCCAGTGAGGTGGATGCCTCAAATTTCATGCCAATTACTGAATGAAATGAAGGCTTGGACGGTTGGAGTTCTTTAGTTTGCATTTCATTTTCTCTAATAGCATGCCATATTGGCATGAGGATGGTCACATAAGGCACTTATCTTGTTTAATTCACTTGGGTGCTTCTCACATAAGGCACTTGGAGATTTGTAAAGTTGCACCTCCTTTGTAATCGCTGAGGGTAAAACAAGCTGAGTTTGGAGCTGGAGGAAGAAATCTCCAATGAGACGGAGTGAAAGGCAGTGAATTCCACGATGGTAGGGAGCTGTCATAAGGACAAATGAATGAGAATCAGGCAGGCCATTCACCCCTTCGAGACTCGCATCACGGTGTGATAAGATTATGATTAATCGGATTATCAACTCCACTCCATGTTCCTGTTGAAACCCTCAAAGATGTGTCGTCAAGGTGGTCAAAAAGATCATACGGAAGATGGAACTCCGTCGGTAGAACTGATATGTTCAGTGTGAAAGGGTGGAACGTTTAAAGCAAATTGCTAGAGATCAAGAAGTAAATCAGTGCTGGTAAAAGCATCTGCTGTTTCTCCAGGGAATGTCGCACCAAAGAGGAAAGCTTCTGAGAAACCAATCCTCTCTAATACATTTATCATGGGTGATAATAGAGGTGAGGGGTACTGAAACATTTTTCAGGAAAGTCTCTCCAGATGTCCAAAAAAGATTTTTATTCTGAGTTGAAGGCTCAGCTAAAACCTTTATTAGGAAAAGCTTTGGACGTTTTTGTAAACGTTAATCGTACTAGTACATATTATTGTGGGGAAATATGTGTGGAAGGCACTCGTTAGAGCACAGCTGGAATATTGTGAAGTTTTGAGCCCCTAATCGAAGCAAAGATATCCTGGCATTTGGAGGCCCTGCAGAGCCTGTTTGTTAGTCTTATACCAGCTATGGAGGGACTTTAGAGGAGAGGATGAATACGTTAGCCCTGCACTTCTGAGGACATAGAAGAATGATATGTTACCTCACTGAAATAGAGAAGATTGTTAGGGGATTTAACAGGGCAGATGTAGAAAACTTACTTCCCTTTGTTGGAGAGTCGAGGACCACGTTGTGTAATCTCAGAATATTTGGTCATTTACTTAAAACAGAAATGATGATGCTTCTTCATTTAACTTTTCATTTACACAATAAAATTTTTTTCTTGTTTAACAACGTGAAATGTGGTGCCACGCATCTTTCAATTGCTTACTGAATGTTTGAAAGTCCTGACTAAGATTGCAGGATACTTGTTCCCTGGGACCAAAAGTGACCAGGCTAAGTTAGTGAGAATCTCCACACGAGAGGCAGAAGAAGCTAGTCAGGCTCAGAAATTCAGGACCAGATAAAGCACAAAGTCAAATTACAAAGGGTACAGCATGATGAATTTGTTTTTGTTTGACACAGGGAGCATAGCAGAAGAAACATTTTCGAAAATGTGTGAATGAGAGTGTCACTGGCGACGCAGGCAGTGGGTAAATAACGGCGGTATGTACAGCCAATCAGAGGAAGAAGGCACGCAGATGGATGGTGAGAGCGACCACTCAGAGGTCGCAGACCAACGATGGACATTTTAGCGGAACAATCAGGATGCGGGGGCGGGTGTAGCGACCACTTCCTCGACAGGGAATGGGGAACTACGACGAGAGGTGGGCGGGACACAGCGATGGGCAGACAATCACACCAATAGGAAAGCGGGGCGGGGAAGTCTATTACTGTAGCCATGGGAGAGAGCCAACGGGTGAAGTGGTTGGTCGGACCGTAACGACGAACGTGGGAATCTAACCAATCGGCAAGTGGAGGCGGTGTCGAAACTATCAATCGCTGAGAGTGAATGGTCTTCAACCGAAGACGGACAGCGAATGTGACCAATCGAGTATCAGGGGCGTCGCTGCAAACGGCGGCGGTCTAGCGAGATAACCAATCGGAAGGTGGTAGATGGGCGGGACCTTATGATTGGCAGTAGAGCGGTCCATTCGGAAATCAGGTCGGGACGGGTGTTGATGATTGACGGTGCAGCCGGCCAATAGGAAGCGAAGGCGCGAGCAGGGTCCATTTTGATGGTAAAAAGGTGACGAAGGTGAAAAATGAGCGACAGAAAGACACAGTGAGAAGGTGAATGTGTCTCTGTTATATTTTATGGCACTGACTGAGTGAGTGGGGAAGTGTCAGCATTTGGCCCATATCCCCTCTGAACCCTTCCTATTTACGTACTCATCCATGATGCTGCCCAGACCTGCTGAGCTTTTGCAGCAAATTTTATGTTTTTGCTTCTGGTTTAAAGCACCCGCAGTTCTTTTGGTTTTTATTTCCTTGTCTATTCACCTTATCCATAGCCCTCATGATTTTATAAACCTCTATACGGTGACCCCTCTGACACTGTGGGGGAGAAATAGCCCCAGCCCCTATTCGGTCTCTCCTTCCAGCTCAAACCCTCCAATCCCGGCAACATCTTGGAAATCTTTTCTGCACCCTCTCAGCTTTAGCAACATCCTTCCGTAGAAGCGCGACCTGAATTGTACGCGGTATTCTAAAAGTGGCGTCACCAGTGTCCCATACAGCTGCAACACAGTGGCCCAACCGCAAGACTCCATGTTCTGACCAATACAGGCAACCGTCTTCTTTATCACCCTGTCTACCTGAGACTGCGCTTTCAAGGAACTGTGCGCTACCGTCCCTAGGTCTCTATGTTCTGCAACACTCTGCAGGATCTTACCATTTACTCTACAAGCCCTTCCCTGGCTTGCCCTACCAAAACCCTGTGGCATTGACCCTGTTGATGATGTTGTCACCCTGTCTCCATAGTGACAGTTTGCTCAAGCTGGCCTCACCGTGTCCGACGGCGCTGAATCAAACGTCGCACAATCATTGACGGGCACCAACGTACACTCCGTCTCCGTTTACACCAGATGGACAAGGCCCTCATGCAGCGCTGACACCCCCACCCTCCTCTTATTCCCTCCCTTATCCCATCTGCAACCCCCTTCCTCCCCCTCTGCTCCACCCACCACTTCCAGTCTTGCCACTCGCCGCCGCCCATCTTGGCACTCCTGCCCTCCCACCCACTTTGCCTTTTGGGCTTACCCCATTCCTCAGCTTGGATCGCACTCTCCCTTCCCTTTCTTGGCTTGCCCCAATCACCCTTCCCTGTCTAGCTGTCTTTCTCACCCTATTGGCCTTCACCTGAACAACCTCCTCTATTCCTGGGCTGCCTCTTGCCCACCACCACCACCCCACCCCCGACCAACCTCATCAACTAGCCTGTTCAACCTCTAACTCCCACTCGTCCTCTCTTACTCCTTGCCCTGCTCCAACACCTCATTGGGATAATCAATATCTACCCACACCCTTATAACATTCCTGGCATCGATGTTGTAATCAAACTTTTTAAAAGAAATATGTAGAATCCTCAAGCTCCCTGATTTTCACATTAAAAACTGAACGAACTGTGATTGCCGTAAATCAGAAACAAAAACAGAAGTTGCTGGAATAGCTCTGCAGGTCTGGCAGCATCTGTGCAGAGAAATCGCACCCTCTCCGTTCTGGCACGGCGTTCTGGGTTGGTCTGCACCTAGCTGGTCTGGCCTCACTCTCTGGGTCTTGCCCACACACTGGCATTACCCTGCCCGCTGGGACAGATGGACTTGATGAATTGCTGATAATCACAGTAACCCATGCTGTTGTCATGGTTTGTCTACACAGCTCCAGTGGTCATAGCGACCGTTCACCCTCTCCACTCTCCTCACCCAGCATGCCTTCCTGATAGACCAGCCACCATAAGATTATGGCATCGCTGTAAGGTACTGTCCCCTTTCTATTGTGTACTTGCTCTCTATTCAGTCTATTCGGTGTCTCTATCCCTGACTCAGTTGTCACTGTGATTCTCACTGTCTTAAGTGCTGTGATTGTATGTGCTGGAATATGTGTCAGTCTTCTCTCTCTTTGTGCCTGTCTTTTAGTCTCAGTTCCTCTCTCACTCCCTGCTCCTTTCTCTGCCTCACTTTTCCCCTTTGTGACTTTCACTGTCTGTATTCCAGACTCCATCTCTCTCCCTCTGTCTGTTCCTTGCAGGGAAGCAGACAGGAACATGAAGCAGCTCACAGTTTTCCACTCGACCCCCATGTAGACTAGGCTAAACCGTGATTCTTAAGACATTGGTGAGTTACCGACTGCTCCCCACACCCCCCACTTCCCAGGAGCTTACATTCAAGGTCCATTGTCAGGGAGAAATGCAACAAGGGTCGATGAGGGTGGTGACTGACTTTGTCCTTTTCATTTCACACGTCCCTGTATCAATCCCAAACTAATCCTACTGCCTTGCTGTCTTCCTGTAATCCTTTATCCATCCCCAAACTAATCCCACTGCTCCATTCTCTCCGCATAGCTCCGTATCAATCCCCAAACTAATTCCTCTATCCCGCTCTCCCCATAGCCCTGTATCAATCTCCAAATTAATCCCACTGCCCCGCTGTCTCCTCACAATCGTGTATCAATCCCCAAACTAATCCTGCAGCCCTGCTCTTTCCCCGTAGTCCCGTATCAATCCCTAAACAAATCCCACTGCCCTGTGCTGTCCCCATAGTCTTGTGTCAAACCCCAAACCAATTACAGTGCCCTGCTCTCTGCCCATTGCCCTGTATCATTTGCCGAACTGCAATCTCCTCTGTCTTGGCTCTCTGCTTTCTTTTCTTCTCTCCTTTGCTCCCCCTTTCCTCATGCTTTGTTTTCTATCTTTCTCATTCTGTCCCTGTACAGCCTCTTTGCTCTGTCTGCAACCATCTCCTTTCCTCAATCCTGTCTATCTTCCCTCTTCCCTCTCAGCCCTCTTCCCTCTCAGCCCTCTTCCCTCTCAGTCCTCTTCCCCTCTCAGCCCTCTTCCCCTCTTCTCCCTCTACCTCTTCTCCCTCTCCATCTCCCTCTACCTCTTCTCCCTCTCCATCTCCCTCTTCTCCCTCTCCATCTCCCTCT